GCAAGAGAGAGAGAGAGAGAGAGAGAGAGAGAGAGAGAGAGAGAGAGAGAGAGAGAGAGAGAGAGAGAGAGAGAGAGAGAGAGAGAGAGAGAGAGAGAGAGATTCCGAAGTACTGAGCGAAAAGTTCCAATTCCATTCGGGTCTTAATTAATCTAGCCTTAACTACTCGCATCTACACATATTCATGCATGTACTGTACAACTTGTGTGCAAACCAACACGGTCCCACACTCATATTACCTCCCCTTATAATTACTTAAGAAGACGAAGCCAATTTGAGAGGGTACGGACGACCGACCACCGAACGCGTTCGTTTCAAATACGCAAAAAGTGAAGGAAATAAGCAAACATAAAACCAGGGAATACGAATAAATCGCTTCCACGTCCAATCAGGCAACAGCTGTGCTCACGATGAACACGCGGACTGCACACTCATTACCTCGGGAATGACGTCAGTACGTGATTATGACGTCACTCCACAGTTGTGGAGTGACGTCACGATTGGGGAGGGCAGTTAAAGTGGAAGTCTCGAGAAAAACGAGATAAAAATAAAGAGAGGGGGGACATTTGACACTAAAAAAATATAATAAAAACATAATATAAATAAATAAAAGCACACGACAAAAGAAAAGACTACATCGGCAGATAAATAGAGAAAGAGGGAAAAATATAGAAAGAGAGAAAGAGAGAAAGCGAGAAAGCGAGAGAGAAAGACAGCGAGAGACAGGCCGCCGGACAGGGGGGGGGGGGGGAAGGACAGGAAGAGAATGAGCATGATAGCGCGACGGATCATTCTACTCTAACTTGTAGGGCTTGACTTCCTACTCTCCCGGACAACACTTTGAGCATTACACTCGCTCGCACGAGGTAAAAATGCGTTTCTATACATGCATACATACATACATACATAATTACGTATGCATGTACACGTCCGCGCGTGTAACACACACACAAACACACACAGACTACAGTATATACAGGTCTGACAATAATAAATGAATGAATTAATCAATATATAAACAAATAAATAAAAGGCAATTTAGACACTAAATGGACAGAAACAATAAAAAACGAAACTTCACAAATAACGAAAAAGAAAAAAAGAAAGAAAAAAAAACGAATAAAAATATAATAACAACAACAACAACAACAACAACAACAACAACAACAACAATAATAATAATAATAGTGATAATAATTATAGTGAGAATAATAATAATAATAATAATAATAGCCCCAGCCCGAGGGCCGCGGCACTACTTACGAAGGAGATGATGGCGGCCAGCAGCAGGATCTTCACAAGCAGGTCATCGAACTGCTCCAAGATCAGCTGCAGGAGAGACTTGCCCTCTTCTGCTGGCAGTTCTGCAAGGGGGGAGGGGGGGTCGTTAGTCAAACTCCTGCTGGCGCGTCGTTTCGGCGGATGTCTGAATACCTGCTCTGTCTACCTGTTTGTCTGTGCGTCTGTCTGATATATTGACTTTGCTAACTATTTATCTACTGTATCTACATTTCAGTTATCTGGTCTCTTTCTCTGTTTACTATGCGTTGTGAATACATGTATGTCTATAAGCACGTACGTACGTAAGTACGCACGCACAGACACACATACACACACACACACACAAAACATGCACATAGAATGTAAAAGTTCCCCTGAACTAACCCCTACCATAAATCGCGTCGTGCCCACCTGCACATACAAGCGACTCAAACACAATAAAAGATTCCCACTAATATCAAATTAAATATAACGAGCATATACGAACTACCTATTTCATATCACATGCTATTTCTCCCTCCTTGCTTCCCCTCCCTCCTCCCTCCTACCCTCCCATCCCTATTTCCCCTCCATCTACCTTCCCTCCTTCCGGTCTATTTCTCCTCGTCCCTTCTTCCCTCCCTAACCATGCCTTACCCCCTTCCTTCTTCCCTTCCCCTCTCCCTCCCTCCCTACACCCCAACCCACCTCCCTTCTCCCTCCCTCCCTCCCTCCCTCCCTCACCCCACCCCTCCCCCTCACTCACCGTTGGGTCCGTACTTCTCCTGGTTCTCCTTGACCTGGGCTTCGCTGAGGCCGACGTCCTGCTTGACGGCGAACTTGGAGAGGACCTCCTCGAACTCGTAACAGTGTCCGTCCTCCATGGTGGTGGCTGGCTTCTGCGCGGCGTCGGCGGGCGATCAGCTACCTTTTGTTCGCTCTCCCTTCGGCAATACTTCGACTCCTGGGGGGGGGGGAGAGGGCGGTCAGACGGGGCGTTTTCATTTTTCGTTTGTGAGGTGGAAGGGGTGTTTGTATGTGTGTGTGTGTGTGTGTGTGTGTGTGTGTGTGTGTGTGTGTGTGTGTGTGTGTGTGTGTGTGTGTGTGTGTGTGTGTGTGTGTTGTGTGTGTGTGTGTGTGTGTGTGTGTGTGTGTGTGTGTGTGTGTTGTCTGTGTGTGTGTGTGTGTTGTCTGTGTGTGTGTGTGTGTTGTCTGTGTGTGTGTGTGTGTTGTCTGTGTG